GTCGGACGCGGAAAAACATGGTGGACCGGCAAGAACTAGTATGGCAGAGGTTCGTAAAAACAGACATTTGTATGATTCAGCTCTCAGAGATCACCGTGATCAACATGTTGTTAATAATTCTTGGAGAGAAATAGCTCACACTGTCGGAAAAGATGAGGACGCTGTTAAAAATGCTGAAATGCCATGTTGTAAACAGTAATTTCTTCTACTATGGTGTAGTGTTGGATGCATGCTGTAGAGCTCCATGCTGCCCCGTTCAGTTTGGGAGAATATTGGCTCACCGCAGAGACGAGCCACACAAACCATAAACACTGCGAGTTGTGAAGCGCGTTCCATCCGCGAGCCGCATCACCGCGCGGAAAGTGAATACGTCAAGCATAAACCAAGCTTGAGGGTCTCCGCCCACCCGGCCAATCATCATCGTGTTTGTAAGTGCGTTACCGACACCTCTCTCTCCCTGGCTGCAGCTGAAGTGTGGCGGTCAGAAAGCCTCACACTGTTGCTCAACGTTCGACGAGCACATAGTAACGCACAACCTTCCGTCCTCAGTAACGGTAACGGGCGTTGCAGCAGTGGGAAAAGTAATTAATTGGATTATTCTATTACCTAAAAAAGAACGCCGTTAGTAACACCGTTATATTTAAACGGCGTTACTCCCAACACTGTTCCTACTTAGAAGTGTCTAAACAAAGAATTGTTATAAATTAAATGATTTAAATCCATCAACATGCTGCTACTTTTATTGCCGTGGCCAACAATAGAGCAGCAGAAGCTAATCGATCCTGGAATGCGAAACAAAGTTGGGTGATTCGTAGCCATCGTGTCATGAGTCCCAATCTTTCACCCTCCTCTGCCTCCTCATCAGGCCTTCAGCCTTCATGCAGCACACCTGGTCCCCTCATCAAGCTCCAGCCAAGCCCTGTTTCCACAGCAACCTCAGCCTGCACCTCATCAGCTTCATTCATCTCACCTGTTCCTGTAATCAGCTCATCCCACACACCTGCTCCCTCTGCTATTTAACTCCCAGCCTGCTCTCCTACCATTGTCAGATTATTGAACGCTCCTTGCTAGTAAATCTTCCAGCCTTGTACCTTGCCTGATCTCAGCCTCCGGACCTCATTTTCACTCCTGACCCCTGCCTTGAACTCTGCCTGCCACCACAACCCTCGCCTGTCTGCTACCTCGTCTCCAGCCTGTTCCCTGTACCTGCTTGTCCGATCTGGTTTTTGACTCACGCCTCCTCTCCGACTCTGTCTCCAGCCTCACCCTCCTCTGGTAACTCCACATCTAATAAAGACTTTTTATTTAACTTTTTACTGTATTTGGTGTCATCATGGGTCTTCCAAGGTCTGAACGTGACACGTCGTGGTGAAAGCAACCTACAGCCTGATTCATGCTTCTCCGTCAGACAGACACACACGGATTGATGGAAGCGTTTTGCTCTCATACTTCTCCGTCTCCTGGGGAGTGTTGCAAAGCAATTCCCTGGCAGGACAACAGCGGGCGTAGCGCTGTTCTGTGGTATCCTGCCATGTATCCGGTCCAAGATAGTGTGTTTATTAGGGGTGGGTACAATTAATCGATGTGGCAATGCATCTAAAAGCTCAAAATGTTGTTTCGGCATCGATTAATGAAAGTCGATGCTTAAAAAAAACGTAACATCAAAGTTTTGTTGCGAAGCCGGTACTAAAAACATAATAACACGTAACCAGAGCCTTAACGCGCGTGCCGCCCAGACTGTTTAGTGAGTGGCACTACCTCTTTGACCTCTTTCCCCATCCTGGAGACTGTCTCCAAACTACCGAAGAACTCAGAGAAGGCGAGGAGCATTACAAAAGCATTAGCTACTTTTATCGTGACGGATCTACGCCATTATTCAGTAGTAAACAACAGGGGTTTCGGTTAGTGGTGTGCACCATGGAGCCGCGCTATAAACTGGGCGACGGTGGCACAGGAGTTAAGTGCTCGCCCTGTAATCGGAAGGTTGCAGGTTCGAGTCCCGCTCAGTCTGTCGCTGTGTCCTTGGGCAAAACACTTGACCCGCGTTGCCTGCTGGTGGTGGTCAGAGGGACCGGTGGCGCCAGTACTCGGCAGCCTTGCCTCTGTCAGTGCGCTCCAGGGCAGCTGTGGCTACATTGTAGCTCATCACCATCAGTGTGTGTGTGAATGGGTGAGTGACTGGTTGTGTTGTAAAGCGCCTTGGGGGGCTCCAGGACTCTAGAAGGCGCTACATCAAATACAGACCATTTACCATTTACGATTCCTCACCAAAAACACTACGCAGAAAAAGAAGTCCCCCACCTCTACGAGGAAACCAAAGCAAGCGTTCTGGAGACCATGAAGAAGGCAACCGGGATAGCGCTCACTTGTGATGCGTGGACATCAGTTGCCACCAAATCCTTCGTTACTGTAACGGCGCATTTTGTTCTCACGTCGGACAAGAACGGATGGAAGTTGGTGAGTCACGTTCTTCAAACTCGAGAGATGAGTGAGAGTCAAAGTAGCACAATGTTGACATTTGCCCATCTCACACAACAGGAGGATGTAGGGGGACAAGAGGGAGGACAGATGAGTATGAGTGTCACTCTGCTCTATTTTGTTGTGTTCACCTCGCTGTACTGAAGCTCCAGGCTGAATATATGTTCAGTTGAATTATGCACTTTTGTTCTGAAAAAATGCAACATATTACCTTCAAATATGTCAGTTTTTTTCTGTTGCCTATATTCCAGACTGAATAAGCTGAAATTATTTATTTGATCTGTATGGCAGCTTTTTTGTAATGTTATCATATGCCAGACTCATTAAGTTTCCATTAAATAAATTTGATGGAAGTAAAAATCTTGTTTACTTGAGTTAATTACCTCATTAAATCCAGGGCTTGCCTGTTTTCAGTGTTTCCCAACAATGGAGGGGATACTAATGTAAGTAAAGCTTTCTCTGATCGAAGTTAAGTTGGTCAAAGTGCAAATATTTACACGTCATACAGTCATAAAATAAGAATTTGTCTTTGAAAAATAGTTAAATGTTAAAAAAATGTATTTACTAACAGAGAGTAGTTTTAGAGGAACTAAATTAATTGATAGATTAATTATTTACAAATGTAGATAAAGAAGAAGACAATCTTGTATGAAAAAAGCATTAAAAATGTCAATAATCGAAGAATCGTGGCACCAGTAATCGAATCGAACCAAAAATCATTATAATCGAAGAATCGAAGCATCGAAGCTCCCATAATCGAATCGAATCGTGAAGTACCCTTTTTGGAACACCCCTAGTGTTTATATTGTGTTTTTTGTACATAAGAGACTTTTTAACACGGACAAATTTGTCTCTCATTCTCCTCCACCTCTTCATGCGCTCGCCACCTCTAAACCCACGTTTCCTGTCATTTTCGTCCACAAATAAAACGCTTGCTGTGCATCTTTTCACTCCTCCAGTCACGGGGGAATTAAACGTTCATATTTTAGAGTTTTTTCGCGAGGTATTCTTCAAGCTTCTCCGTGTCTGCCGCTAGTTATCATCGGCTCTCTTTATGTTTTTGAGGGCGCAATGGTGGCGGTGTAGACAACAGCGGCGTCCTGACCAATCACAAGCTTGCGTTCTCCATCTCGACGGACGGATGTTTAAAAAAGTGGGCTCGACACCGTACGTACTTGCGTGCCTGCCGGGGCCCTACGCAAGGACGGATAATGGCGTTGCGTGTCTCCGCGCTGACGCAGACGGAGAAGCATAACTCGGGCTTAAGTCTAAAAAACAACTCACTAGATTTTACAAAAAGTTTGCTTTCCAAACTAACAGAAATATAATTCCTGCTTCCCTCTGTGTGTGTGTAAAGCAATGTTATCAACGTTGTGTTCATGCTGTTATCTTATCAGAGCTAACCCCTTGATTAAAAAACGTCTGAATTGTGCGTGCGTACGTTTATGAAAATAAATGTCAAAAGAATCTGTTTTCTGACTGAATCTAATCAAACGGATCGTCATGCATCAAGACAACAACCCAAGGCACTCCAGCTGTTCTAACACATAAAGGTTAAAAAAGAATAAAGGTAATGTTTTGGAATGACTGACCCCAAAATTTTGCCTCAGTTCAACTGAAATGTTGTGGGTTGAGCTGAAGTCAAAAGTTCAGCTCAACCATCAGGCTTAAAACTGTTCTGCACGGGCGAGTGAGCTCAAATTCTTTCAAGCTGACATCTAGAGTTTGACCAGCAGTTGCAGGAAACATTTGGTTGCAGTTTTTCTTACATGAAATGGGTTAGACCTGTAATTTCCAATCATTTCACTCATCAAACATATTTGTTTTCTTTGGGTTTTTTTTTATATTTGATCTGTTGAACATCTGTGTAGAAGGGTTCAGAAATGTTTATCATCCCAGTCATTTGGGGCAAAACTGACATTTATGACACGGTTCTCACAAGGTTTCTTCAACTGTGTGACAAAGAAGTGATAAAAACAACAAGGAGTAACTTAAATCTTTGTGAATAAGTGGAGGGATGTGCAAAACAGAAGGCCACAGGGGCTCAAAGATGGAAAGTGTCATTTGTTTGCGGGAGAACGAGATTATTTGTTTTTGACAGAAAGAATGGCTTGGGAGGATGAAGGGAAACTGAGAGATGTAAAAGAAGACTGGAACAGGCAGAGACAGATAAGATTTAAAGTTTCCCATGCAACCCTCCTCCCAAGAGCAGCGTCTACATCTGCGCAATCACCCCCCAGCCTGCGTGGACTCTCTTGGCCCCAGTCACCTCCCCAAAAGACCCCACTGCATTCCTGCCCCAGCTGTGGCTCTTTTCCTCTTCATGGTTCTGCTTTTCTTTCTGCCTACTACCATGCTCCCCCAACCACTCCTCTTAGCCCCCACAGTCGCTCTCTTTAGTTGCTCACTAGTTCAGGCCTGGGAGTGATTAGCAGTCCATCGCCAGGAGGAGGAAAGAAGGAAAAGAAAGTAGGAGAAGGGGGAAAAAGGGGGAATTGTCTGGAAAATAACTGCTGCCTTACCCCTTGTTCCGATTCCAGGGGCTCAGCTTTGACTCGGACTGCAGGCATTCCGTCAAGCATTAACATCCTGTTTCTTAGGCTGCCTGTGAAGGAACACAGAGGAGGTGTAAGACGGGTGTTTTAGCATGACTAAGCAGGTCCCACACTCAGTTATTCACACACGAACATCTACGATGTTGCGCTCAAACCCACTGAGAAGTGAGCACATTTTAAACAGACATGAACTCATGTTTGAAAATCATTGGAAGGCCCCAGCTCAGAGATGCGCACAAACAGGGGAAACTGGAGCCGGTGCACAGCTAGAGCCCCCCCTTAATATGTTTTAATATCCTGATTTGCTGCTGTGAGGCTTACTCACCAACACTGATTACAATCCTCTTAAGACTTTAGTGGAATACAAACACATGCTCAGAAACAGCAGACTTTCCCTGTTTGTTCTAAAACGAAAATGATTAAACGTAAATGAAAAGTCAGTATAAATATACAGAGAAAGCTCTAAATTTGGCCTCCTTTGGACTTGTGCATGCAACGTTCAAATCACAACACACAAACACTCAGCACATCATTTTATGTTGGTTTGGTTTTGTTTTATTGTACAAGGACATCACAAAACACATGTTACATGTAAAGCCGGGCGTACACTGTGCGACTTTTTCACTCGCAGCGTTCAGCTTCAGCTCAAACTGTACGACTTCCTCGCAGAGCAGATCTCACGAGTCGTGTGCTCACACTGCACGACCCAGTTCTCGCATGCGACCTGACTGCTCACACTGTACGTCTGGTAGCAACACGTCGGCCCTAAAACTGTGCTAAAAATAGCAGTTTTTACTCAACACGTCAGACTTTTTTGTCTTGCCTGTTGTCCTTCGGGAGTGCTGCAGGAGGACACACAGGGATTTATGGGGGTTGGATGAGGAAAACGAAATAAAGAAAGTGAATCTGTGTTTTGTGATCAGTTTAATTTGACATGAACACGACAAACACGCTTTCTTGACAATCTTTGAGTAAAAAAAACGTGTAGAAACAAAAACGAACAGCGTGTGTTATTAGGGAAATAGCGAGCGACCGGCCGGCGTTGATGCAGGATTGCGCGCGCATGCGCCGTGAGCGGTTCTGATGCTTTTTGGATCGTAGCTGCTCGCAGCTGCTCGCAGCGCCGCTTCAACACTGCGATACCCTCACGAGGGACAAGCGAAATATTAAACACACTAGAAGTCCCTGCGACCTCACGACTGCTGATCGGCGGCTGGTCACGTGGTGTTAATCGCCTCTCGTAACCCCCTGCACACTACACGACCGCTCGGCGCAAAACTCGCCCCGATGTCGTGGCTTCTCGCACGACTGGAAAATCGGCTCAAAAAAGTGAAAAAGTCGCACAGTGTACGCCCGGCTTAAGGGTAATGCAACTGTTGTTTTGTCCTGCCTCAGTGTGTTGGAAGAGCAGGCAGCGGTGCCCGTCTCCTCAGCTCCATGCTGCGGCTTTAAGAGGGGTACTCGGATGGAGCCAATGGCAACAATGCATGCTCCGTATCCCTCGGCTGGAGGCGACCTGAGGTAACCCTCCCACTTATTATTATAGCAGCACTACATGGAGGAATGCAAGCAAGACAAATAGACTCTAAACATCTCTGTTACTCTCCACCGCTGGCACCGCAGGCTGGGCTTGTGGCCTAATCTCTGTAGGATACGGTGACCACTATTCTGCTGCGAGAAAAAATTAAACCAGTCAAAAACATCTCGTTAGTTTGATTGGTCTAATGTTTTCTTAGGCCGCTTTAGAGAAGAGTTCATCCACAACAATTACCAAAGCATAAAAGACTTTTTAAAAAACTAACAACTGTGCTTGTTTTCCTCCGATTTTCAGGCTGAAGGCTAATCCCGGGTGTGAGCATGAGGGGACATAGAGAAATAGGCAGGATTTACTCTCTCACTCTGCAGCCCCTCACCCCCCTCCATCTCCCCTCTCAGGTCTAAGTCCCTCAGGTACTCTGGCTGTGCTGCTATTGTATTGTTGTCCAGGATGTCCTTCGGCTTCAGGTCTTGGTAGGCCTAGATAGCGTTACCATAGAAACAGTTGGCGGGTGGAGCTGCTGCCTCAGTCCGCCCTCAAGTCATGCGTTGAGGAAGGAAAATCGGTGAGTGTACTGAGATGGGCAGAAACAAAAATGAGTGCTCCTCTGGGTGACCGTCATTTGTGTGCCACTAATGAGGGAAGCTGTCAAAAACTTCCTTAATCAGCCTGTAAATGTATTTATTTCCACCAATAAGTAAACAAATTTGTGGAAAGCAGCAACCTTTTCTATTTGTGTCTGAGGTGCGGTTAATCCAGTGGTGTGCGAGCTCCTTCCTAATGAACAGGCCTGCAGAGGCCCATTCACAGGAAATCAATGGCAGTTGCATAGCTCCATTTGTGACTGCAATGACCGAAAAGCTAGCAGCAGCCAGAGAAACCTAACACTGCGTAATGAGCTAATGGAGGAGCTCTGCATGTCGAAGAGGTTATGAAGAAACTGCTTTTAGATTGTTTCCTCCAGCTGAGTTTCACAAATCATAAAAATTCCAAAATAAGGGCATGGAAATTTGTTGTTGATCACTAAATTTGGCCGGCTGGCGGCAGGTTTAGGCACCCAGCGGTGTGCTGTCCATCAGCGGTTTGAGGCGCCGTGTGTGGGAGATAGAGAGAGGGACAGGGTGGGGGATTGAATGGGGGTGGGGGGCTAGAAGGAAGCAGGGAAGATTAAGATCACCTTTCCATTTGCTGCACTCTAAAATGAAATGGCCATCCCAGGTGTGTGTGTGTGTGGGGGGGGGGGGGGGGGGAGGGGGGGGGGGCTGGAGAGAAGAAGGCAATGGAGTGTTGAGGCATCTCATTTCTCCCTCCAACAAGCCCCCTACAACCCCCAGTACTCACACAGAGAAGCACACTGGGAAGGGGAAAGGAAGTGCTTTCAACATGTACACACATTTCTGTTTTTTGCGCTCTTATTTATTTTCTATCGACACATTTAAAAGGCATTTGTTCAAGGTTCATCATCAGGCAAATGGACAGTTATTTGCACCTGCTAGGACAAATAGTAGTGCCAGATTATCTGTGATATCAATGAGCTACTTCCCATGCTCTCTGTTGATGACTCAGAATGCAACTATGTTTAAAATAAAAAAAATGGCTGCAAAAACTTTTGTTTTTCTTTTAGCACATCTATGGAAAGGTTTTGCAACAAAAAGATGCACTACCTCTAGACAAATAATATTTTATGCATTTCGAAAGTCAGAAAAGCAAATCTACAACTCACACGCTCACATGAGCATGAACTAAATAGAGATCTACCACCTGGCCAATTATAACATGCTTTGAATACTAACAGACATATGATACATAGATCTGACCAAAACAACCATACCTCCATCAAATCTAAACATAAGGTTATCTGAAAGCATAAGAGTGGTGGACATGCATTGCTTGAAAGGACACTAATCCTTTAACTTATCTAAGCAAACGTTTAGTTCTCGGATTGAATGAGTTTGAGTCTAAGGTGTGATTGTGGAGCTCATGGGGAACATCGCTGCAGGTTGCTATGGGCATGAAGAGAGATGATGTTTCTGCTCCATCGGCTGCAAAGAAATGAAACAGAGTTTTGTTTCAAGGGATGTATGTTAAACTACCTGATGACAGAAAACTCAGTCACTAGCTTAGTGTATGTCTCCACTTTCACTGATCTCTATTTCTCATGCAAACACACACACACACACACACACACACACACACACACACACACACACACACACACACACACACACACACACATACACACACACACACACACACACACACACACACACACACACACACACACACACACAAACACAAGAAGAAATGCACAGACACCCAGTGCAACAGAAGGACTCCTCCAATGCTTTGTTCCCATGTTGAGTGCCCACAGCAACCGTGTGCATCTGTGTCAGAGAGGCTGGTCCTGCTGCCACAAGCTGGGACAGACGAGGGATGGAAGACACACAAATATGAAAAGGATGAAAAGGTAATAGGGAAGTAAGTGAGCAATGGAGGGGAGCTTGTTGAAGAGGAGTTGGCAAGAGTAGTACTTGGGGGGGCAATCAAGATGATTTTGGAGGGGAGGGGAGTTTCACAGAGGGGCAGGAGGAGCTGCAGGAGTCAAAGAACGGAGAGGGAGAGCAGAGAGGGGATGTGGACCTGAGCCAAGGCTCGGTCGAGCGCAAAGTATACAGTGCAAGAATGCCAACAGACACCCCCACCTCCTTCCACCCAGTTCTTTATTAAACAGGACGAAAGGGAAGAATATCAAATTCACAGAAATCAATCTTAAGATGGTAGAAATTTTACATAAATGATCAGCAAGAGATCCAAGTGTGCAAATGCATAATGAGGACCGAGGTGTGAGGTTTGTTTGCTGCACCGTGTGCCTCTGGCCTCTTTGCTGTGGCTCATTTCCCTCCTCTGTGCCCCTGGACACCCCAGTGTGACACGTTGGCCTGATGACTGGCCTACAACTGCTTGCTCACCAGCAAACTACTCTACTTCTTCTCCTTTGAGTCATTTAGAGCAGGAACCTTTTAAAAAGCAGTGAAGAGCCGAGCAGAAAGGAGAGTTATTGACACGTCTGTACAAATGTATTCTTCTAGATTTCTGTCTGCTAAAAGCATAGACACAACCGAGCCACCCGTCACCCATAGCATATGTTTTTAAACATAAAAAACAGTTTCCTGTCTGGCCATGTTTCGGCTCTGTGGTCTTAATTATGCCTGAGAAAGTTGTTCATCTGTTGTGGTTTCCTGCAGCGTTTATTACAGTACCTTTACCAAAATAGATATCGGTACTTTGGTCAAAGGTTCATTAAACGTGTAGCCTGAGCCCACTCTGTATTGTATAGGAAAGCAAGAGGCTTTGTTGCACCGCATAAATAATAAACCCGTCCTGTTCATTCACAGACAGATAAGATTACCAAACTACCAACAGGATTTAAAGTGTTTATGTGAACTCAGAATGATATTCTCATATGTTTCAAGTGGGTATTTGCATGATACTGTGTGAGTCCATTTAATAGTC